AAACAGGGAGGGGTGGTCTAACTCCTAAGGGAAAAATCCCAAAGCCGGCCCACTTTGTCTGTTAGAGTTGTTGGGTAGAACCTTCAATCTGGCAAAGTTTCATCCACAAAGGAGAGATGGCATGTATCTCCTCTGCCTGGTCCTCTGGTAAACTCGGTCTTAATTCCTGTTTCACTAACTGTTATTTAAAACTATGTTTTCAGTGCTAAATAACTCGAACTCTTTTTGAGATTTCTACTTTTTTTCGGTAAAAGTTTGGTAAAACGATTGACCTTGATTTAGTCCAAAAACCAAAAAAACGATTTGTGTACCCTTAAAGGTGGTAACCTGAAGTAACCTTAATTGCACTCGCATTCATACGATGACCCATTCTCATTAAATGACTGAGAAAATTACTTCATGGTAATTTCTTAAGAACAGGCCAATTTATCGTTAATTTCCAATATGTATTGTGACGCAAATTAACGCAGTTCGAATTTGTCATTTTCTCAGTCATACAGGTATATCTATAATAAATGAGTAATCGTGCGAAAGATCGGGCAAATATAACGATTTACACTAGAAATTGCAAAATTCAAATTGCACTCCCTTAAGGTTCATGCAATTTTAATTGAGAGAATTTCCAAGAATCATTCGTAGCGTAAATCCTTAATTGCACTCGCATTCATACGATTACTTATACAAATGGGTTGATTGAAAGGAGATTTATAACAAAACGTTAAAACAAATACGAGCGTGGGCATTAATTATAAGATCGCTTTGTTAAGCAAGCATAGTTTTCAGACCTCGACACGTAAAGGACCTCGGCTGCTTCTGTCTCTGGAATAAGGTAAGATGATTCTACATGAAACTCGGTCAATTCACGTTGTTGTTTTACAAAGGAAGGTCCTGATATGTAGCAAGATTTAGATAACGTTCATTGATAGAAATTGCTCTGCTCACCTTCCCCATTCCAAAGGTAAACAGGGAAACATTAGCTGTCGTGACGATTTGCTGAGGGCCGCGCTAAGAAAAATTTCCCGTTTTCTGTTTTTTTTTTCTTCTCGCACACAGAGATTTTCAGATTTTCAGATTTTCAAAGGGTATCTATAGTTATAGCTATATAGAACTATAGCTTCTGCTTCTGGTCTAAAGAAACTCATCAATTTTGGACTGGCGCTCGGAACACAGACAACATTGTCTCTGACCACTTTGAGGAAAATCTCTGGTTTTCGTTGTTTTTCTCGCACACAGAGAATTGCAGATTTTCAAAGGATATCATAACCATAGCTTCTGCTGATCGTCTAAAAGAAACTCAATAATTTTGGCCTGGCACACGGAGAGCATCGTCTCTGAGCATCGAGCAGTCTTTTGGGAGGCTTAGCTTAGCAATGCAAAGCCAACGCAAATTCATTGATCAAGGTCAAGGTCAACTTGATAGCAGAGCTCTGGCTGTCCGAAGGGTCGCCAAGCGGAGCCCCATACTCATATAGGAAAGAAGAGGAAACCCATAAGTTGATTTTGTCATGGTTATCATGGCTAGCAGTATTGCTCGTGGGCGCGTTCGCACGACGGCGACGACGACGACGACGACGACGACGGAGTCGCGCAACATAGCGCCCATACTCCAAATAATAGGTTGACAGAGATACGCCTTGGTTTAGCGTGTACTTCTTTGATATTGGACATCCATGTTATGATCAATTGACACCTGTCAAAACAAGGTATCCGCTGACCATGATCGTATCGTATCGTATCGCGGGCTCAAGTTCACAGCTCATCGAGGTCGCGTGGTTTTTTTGAAGTTGACCGCTGACCAAGTGCTGGTTTTCGATTGGATCGCGGGCTCACCTCAGGTTAACTTGTTGAAAACAGGACAGGATTGTTCGGAACCCGGTTAACGCTAACCCTGGATTAAAAATTAACCGAATTATAACTTTTTCTATACAAATGTTTTTTGCTACTTTGTTTTGTGTATAGTGATTATTAAACAAAACAATATAGAGAAAACCTCAACGGAAAGTTATAAAACTCAAATCAAAATTCTACCTTTTCCTGGGTTATTTGGCTTTGAACAACCCGGCTCAGGAGCTACGCTTTCAGGCTGGCCTAAATCTATATATTACCTTCGAAGCTAAAAAAGATGGTCTAAGTTCCATGGATCCATTTATGATCTTTTGGTATCTATAAACTTTGTTCCGATCTACCTTCCGAACTTTTCAATTACATGAACTCAACAATACTTACACTTTATTAGACGTCAGGTAAGTTGTTGTAAAACGTCAGCAATAGGTCATTTTTACAGCGGTGTGCCTAGTTACCTGGCCAATGAAAGCAAGGAAAGCTGCAGGTGACCTTGCTTTGATATCAACCTCTCTTCTTTTCTCGGGTAAATGTAGACTAGTTAGCTTTAGAAAAACTTGATTTACACCACAAAAACAGTGAGGTCTGTATCAAAACAAGTTAACCTCCAGCCTCGCTGCAATTCAAATGCCGGGCCACTGAGCAGACCGTGACTGTAAAATGGTTTTTTTACGATAACTCTAGCAATTCTCGCGCGCTCATTGGCTAATTTTCATTGTAAATAAGCGGACAGACACATGAATTTATGACTTATGCAATGCGTCAACGAGCGAGAGCAGACAATTTGACAGTTTGTTATCGTAAAAAACAAATTGTAGTCAGTTTTGTATGCGTCTGTCCTATTATTGACAATGAATTTCGTGATAACATTGTCAAAGTAGTCTCCGGATCCACTTGGCTATCGCCTCGAGGATCCACAGCAAGTTTGACAATGATAAGACGAAATTCATAATCAGTAACAGGACCGACGCATGAAAAACTGACGTCAATTTTTTAAATTTAATCTACAATGTTTCACGCATTCAAGTTTCCACTGAAAGTAATGCAATTCTGTTTTCTCGTATGCCAAGGAAACTGGCAGAGGTTAAACGCAGAACCTGTTTGCTTTGGAGCGCGAGAAAACTAGTATGGTGCCTTTAACACCACAAAAAAGGGACTTTCAAGACAATGAAGCTCGTCCACAAGTCTGGCTCGGTACATTGCGGCCAAAATAATCCGGCATCTTACTGGGGCTGTACAAATCAACAATCGCATGGAAACAACGGCTTAATGACTATCATCACAAACACAAAGAAAAAAGCCGTCCTGTCACCTGCTGAAGACTTGAAAAAACACGATACTTGTAGAAAGGAAACACACTTTTACCATCTTGATGGAACAACGCATTTATCTTCAGAGCTCGTTTTCCGCGATCTTTCCAATCGTTTGCCTGTGCCACGCAATCAGGAACTGCAGATATGGTACGGACAGGATTGGATCGATTGTACTGAAGGGCGTAACAATGGTACAACATGTGTTGATGTGTATGCGTGGTATGCTTAAAATCACATGAGCCTCTGACTTATCGGGAACAGGGTATAAAGTTGGCATAAGTTTCATTAATCAAAGCCACTGAAAACTTTTAAGTAGACGCAGCTGGTAATAGTAGGTGTTACTGTACTACATGCTGTCTGAATTGGAAATGATTGGATGAGGAAAATTCCTTGGACTGCTAAGGTTGAACGAGGCTGCAGGCTAAGCCCGAGACCATTTTGACAGTCTGTTAATTTCTCCAAATTGGAAAATAATGCGTTGGTATTAATTATATTACGTAATTTGGTGATTTGGACAATTTTCAAAATTCACAAAAAATCGTGCGCGTTTGCGTCTGTTTTCAGGGCTGGCAATTAAATTAAACAATAGCTACCATTTTGCGCGAAAATGTGCTCGGACATTTTCTGTTCTGAGAAGCGAAGAGCGTAGCTGGAGGAAAACTGTGAGCTTTGAGGAATAGATAATCGATAATGTCCAAGGACAAATATCCGAGCATATTTTCGCGCAAAATGGTTCGAGGCTATTGTGTTTATTATCCTTAAATATTTTTTCGCAACGCGTGCTCTTTTGAAAATTGGTGAATATCACTCGGACATTCCCCAGTTTTAGCTGGGACGTATTGAATCACGTGACGCGTTTAATTTAGAAAAACCACGCGCAAGCAAAAAATATTTGATGGATTATAGTTAAGAATAGTTAAAACATGCATGTAGCTAGCGCGGAACACTTACCAAGACAACGAAGCATTGTATGTGCTTACATTTTTCTAATATTTCTGCTGCCTGTAAGGATCAATACAAAACTTAAACAATATTAATAGTAATACACTAACAACGGCAATGTAGTAATTATACATCTAGAGTGTTATGAAGTTTGTAAGCTTGATATATTTCTAAATAGTTGTTTTATTCCTGTCCACAGTGAGAGATATTAATCGTTGATAACTGTAGATATCGCAATGCAAATTAGATTCATGTTGTTTAACTTATATGTTTGCATGATTTATAGTTAAATTACTACAATGTAGTCTTGCTTTTTAGTTTTATCCTGTGTATCTATTGTGAACCTTGCCTTGTCTGCAATTTGAAGTTTATTTTTTTTGTGTTCTAGCTGCTACCCTGAGCTGTAATTTATGTGCGTTAAAGTTTTTGCAAGAGCACTGACTTCGCTCAGCCTTTAATACTGGCTTCGGTCATGTATCATGTACATAACCCTGGTAGCAGTATCAGGCCCGGCTTAACCGGCGTCTAGACTAAAGAACTTGGGGAGAGCGTCCGGGGAGAAACAGTTTTTAAAATACTTACAGTGATGCAATGTTCAATAAAGTACTGATATGATAGCCTGTGTTGTAAGCTCATTAGTAGAATTACTTATAATTACAAGTAGTAATTTCGAAATCATGTGGGCAAAAATATGATATACTATGATATATTACAATACCAAGCTGGAACTGAGGAATTCACCCTCCTGTGAATTTCCTTCATTATTAACAAATAGATTCCATGCATGTTGCCATGCGTCTGTTCAGTATTAATCTAAATCTACTAGGGTTCAAACACAGATGCCGTTCTCTGATTGGCTACGAATATTGATTGCCTTGGATTAGTCAAATTAATAGTAAGGTTGTGATTGGTGGAAATGTCCACCACAGGTCCTGCTTCTTTTCCTAAGTGCAGTCGACGGATTCAAAGGTGACAGTTAATACTAAAACTGATCGCTTGGACTAGATATAACTATCATGATAACAAACAACTCAGTAAAACCGAAACCATTGAAGCTTGGTCTTTTCATAATCGATCGGCTAATCCAGGTAGCCCACATTCATTAAACAGGTCATAAAGATTTCCCACAGTCATGTCACTCCGTTCTCCAACATAATCCAAGAGAGCACCAGCTGAGTTTGGATAACGTCTGTCAAGGAAACGAATCCGCTCTGAATTGAGACCCATTCTCTCAGCAAGCAGCATCCATTCGTCCCCACCTACAAAAAAACAATGCATTTAATCAAACAGAACACTTGAAAGCTAAGGGCTGTGATATTTAGGGAAGAAATGATTTGCTTCGCTGAGACATGACATTCCTTTAGTGACATTGGCATTCCTGAGACAAACTTTGATATTAGCTTAAGCTCTGAACTACCAAATGATTAGTAAAACTAAATTTCTTAGTTGATAAGATTTTGGTTGCACGCCAATGGCGGACCTCGGAGAGCGCATCAGTTTTTTCAACAGCTTAGAGTTTTTAAAGCCATGAACCAGCGAACGCGCCTTTCTTTTAGTCTTCTCAGGAATTTAACTATCCGTTTGTTTTCAAACGATCTCCCGAAACTTTGGAGAAATCGCCCTATTTCAAAGACGACCTACAGCCACTGCACACCTATGGCTGGCAGTGTACGACAGCTCATCCAATCGGATTACAGCATTTCCGTTAGTGTACGAGGAGATCAGACTTCTATCACATGAAACCAGAGCTCGAGATCCCACGAGATAGCACAGTTCATGCGCAAGATCACTGCATTGCCTGCATCGCCAGCAAGATCACATCTTGGAAGATTGTCGCTGGAATTTGGCTTGAAAATATTGCTTAGTCTTACGCAGTAACGCTCAAATAAGCATACAGTGAGTCAACGTAGTTGACCCTATCCTAATCTAACTGTTCACGAGTTCAGTTTTGCTACTCGCACTTTGATGTAGTTGTTACATGATTTCCCGCTCAAACTTGAGCATGGCGGACGCGGACAACCCAAGCGAAGAAGAGCTATCGAGAGGAAGAAAGTACACCGG